AGGCGGGCGGTAAGGAGCGGAGCGAGAGATCCCAGATTTCATGTACCAGGCCTCTAGTAACAACATATGATAAGAATTGGTATTATTCTTGTTTTATAATGTGTCCTAGAAAGGAAAAGCAACTTGTCCAAAGTCATACAACCTTGCTGGAACTGGAATCAGGAAACTTTGTCTTGAGAGTCCATGCTCTTAACCAGCGGTCGCCAACCTTTCAGACCTCACAGACCACCAGCGGTCTGCGGACCACCGGTTGGCGACCACTGCTCTCAACTATTATCCTCTGTGTAAGCTAAATCACCTGGGGCAGGGGCCATGCAAGAGAAAGATGGAGACAGAGAGGACAGGAGAGGGAGAGATTTGAGAGAGCAAGAGAGGAAGATGAGGAAGAGCTGCCATCTTCAATCTCCAATTCAATTGTTTCCATTTCTGCATCCAAGTAAGCTTGCCCTCTCGAGGAAAAATATGGGGGAAAGCAGACTAGGGATCAGTGGACTACACACCTAATCCTTTAAAGGGCAGATTTCAAAAGTGGCCCATGTCCCTTCTGCTTGTATCTGTTGAACAGAACTTGGTAATACATCTACCCCCAGCTCAGAGAGAGACAGGAGTGCAGTCTTAAGCTGGGTAAGTATGTACCTACCTAAGAGTCTGTCACTGGTTAACTCACTCCATCACTGCAGAAGGCCTCTCCTCTCACCCGGATTCCTGCGACATACGGTATCTGCTCAGATGGCCCTGTTTCAAGAGGACTTCCTTGACTGGCCTATCTGAGATCACACCCTGTCACCCTCTGACCCACTCTCCTGTTTTATTTTTCTTCATAGAAATGTATCACTGTCTAAAATTACAGGGTATTTTTGTTTTCACCGGTCTCCACCCCACCCCTCAAAGCATAAACTCCACAGGAGCAGGGACTTCGTGTCTTGTTCACGGCTACATTGCCAGCGCCTGCTTGTTGCTCAGTAGTATTTGCTGAATGAATGAATGAATGATGAATGAACACTATTCCAGCTTGTCTCCCTGCCTCTGATCTTGACAATAAGACGTGATGGAAAAGAATTTAGTTATCTTAACTGGTACCAGAGTTTTGTTTTTTGTCTTTTAAAAAGGTAGAGAACTACTTTTCACGATAATAATAATACATCTCCTTGGTGTAGGATAAAACCCAAGAGCCTGTATTGAACTAAAATTTCCCTCATGAAATAGGAAGTGGAGGTTAAGAGAAACAGAAGGCAGGGAACTGGGAGGAGAGGAACCAGAAGGATGTCAGCCATCTTCCTGTGACCCTGCATTTCATTACCATTCACTGCACTGAGCGGATGCTTTGTGTGACTGGGTTCTGTGATGCCTAATAAGGGTTGGGGCTCACCACTGGGGAACATGGGGTCCCAGAGGCAGAGGAGGCCTGGAAAATGCAAGCCCCTCTGGAATTTCCAAAAAAATCATGGCATTTCCTAAATGACAGCCCATGGCGAGTAAAGTGGAATCTACCTTTTATGTCAAAACCGTACATTATTTATGCTTCATCACTCATTTATATACAGTTTCCATATAGGTTATATGGAGACTTTGGTTGGAAGAGATTAAGGTCATATAATCACACGCTTTTCATCACTGATATTTCTACTGAACACAATTCCTCTCCATCGCCTCAGAAAAGGATCAGGGAAAGGCAGGGCCTCTGGCCTTCTACAAGCCGCACCTCTCTTTCGTCTCCCCGCTGCGGGGTGCAGTGCAGAGCGAAGCCAGCTGTGATCCTTCACCTCCACCTTCCTTTCTGCCTAATTCACTTTTCCTGAGTGTCTGCATATCCCACCATTTTTGGTCTCAAGCTCAGAGTGAAGTTTTGCTTAGGGTTATGTTATTTTAGGAGTGAAGTGTGGGGGCAGTAGCACATATAAATGGATTGGATGCAGGAGTGCTGGGGACAAACCTAGGCAGTTCATCATTCTGCAAGGACTGCATTTTCATTGCAAACTACATGGTCGCAGTTATCTATGACTGCACAACAAACCATCCCAAAGCTTAGCCACATAACGCAAACATCGTTTGATTACACCTACCGTTTTGTGGATTGGAAATCAGGGCAGGGCCCAGCAAGGATGACTCATCTCTGCCTCACAAGGCCTAGGGCCCCCTGTGGGCAGGGCCGGGTTAGGCTTAGCGACTTGAGAGAACAGTTGGTAGCTAGTGAATGGATAGAGGAGTCAGACCCCTAACCATACCCTTGTGGCTAACGCTCCCACGTGACCCACTCCAGTACCACGCCTGCTCCTCCCTAAAGAGGCGGGGTCTGTTTCCTGTCCCCTTGAACCTGAGCTTGGCCTGTGACCTGCTTGGACCAAATGACCGTAGTGGACATGACAAGAGGAGAATTCTGAACTTACCAAACCTTGCAGCTTTTGCTTTCATTCCCTGGTCTCCCTGAGGCTGAAAGATTGAGGAGAGAGAAATCCCACCTCCTAGTTGTCCCGGCTAAAGAGCCAGTCATATGATGAAGACCATCTTGGATTCCATGACAGTGGAGTGGCGTGCCTAGCTGAGATGACCATTCTGGCTGAGCCTGCCTCGCCATCACACAAGCATGAGTACATAAAACTCAGGACTGTTGTTTTCAGCCTTGGAACTTCAGGCTGGTTCGTTACACGGCAGTAGATAACTGTTACTATATGCTATGTGTCCTATTCAAAATTAATTTTTTTAAATAACTAGGCTCACTTGCAAATCTTTCTTCCTGTTTAACAAGGAGCCCCTCTCTCTTTTTCCTACCTTAACCCTGTGTCTTTAAGGTCTCTGTTTATCTAACAGATGATACAATATCCAACAATGCAATGCAAAATCAGTGCCAATCAATGCAAAAAATCAGGGCACAGTGATTATAATGTAAAATTGCAAATCTTTCTAAATGTGTAAGAAATCATGAAGTTGATGAAGGTAATGTGAGAGAAGCCCTTGAATCATGGGTAACTCCTCTGACGAATGAGAATCTGCAGCTGGAATAGTTAACATTTAAAGAAGAAAAAATCCACCCAGATGATGGCACAATAACTGCTTCCAAAGGGAATAATTTGAATGTCAGGATTTAAGAGAGGCTCTTGGGAAACTGATGAAGCCTTCAAATATTTTTGCAATAATGACCCTCTTTATGACTTGCCCACTGAAATCAAATGTAAAAGGATATTGTGGATGATACCATATAATTTTGTTAGAAAATTACGCTTCTCAAAATCAGCACTTGATCCGTCCTTTGTTCTAACATTTAACACATCATTGACGAACTAAAATTTGTTAAATGTAAGGAAAATTAATTTTAATGATTGTCTTACCTGTTTTATAGTTCCAACCAAATCTTTTCACTGTTTTGTGCCTATTTTCCACTTTAGCTCGACCAACATGGCTCAGTGGTTGAGCATTAACCTATGAACTAGGAGGTCACAGTTCAATTCTGGGTTGTGTGCTCAATCCCCAGTGGGGGGCAGGCAGGAGGCAGCCAATCAATGCTTCTCTCTCATCATTGATGTTTCTATCTCTCTCTCCCTTTCCCTTCCTCTCTAAAATCAATAAAAATGTATTTTAAAACAAATTTTTAATAAAATAAAACCTTAACTTTAAGTGGGTTTGGGGAGGTACCAATTATTTGAGGAAACCTCTGCGGCCTCTGTGAATAGCTTTAACTCCTCTCCCTAACCAACAGGTATACCCACTGAGGGCAGGTCTTAGAACCTGCTGTATTATATCCTCTGGACAGTTCGTCCATCATGGGACTGAACAGAGAGCAGAAACTCACAAATGTGACAACGAATGACCCCCTGACTGACGGGCTCGCGTGCAGGCCTTGCCGTTGAAGAATGGCCCTTTTCCATGATCAATCCCTGAACACCAGGCGCTGGTATTTGTGCTTCTCACAATTGTTCATCGAAGGCCTATGACCAATTTCCTGCTGAAAGCGCTTTCGAAGGCTGAACGCATTTAAAACCAATCCAAGCATGGAAAGTCGTCTTAGGAAATAAGGCCCACTCCCCGGGGGGCGGGGCGGGCCGGCTGGGAACAGGTGCGCCACTTCGCTGCACAGGATGGGAATGTCAGACAGAAGCACTTTAGAAACTCCAGCTCACCCCGCCTGGCAGCCCCTTCTGGGCACGTGTCAGTGAGTGCCTGGCAGAGGGGGCACCTGAGAAGGTCTCTCAGCAGGGACTAAACCATTTCAAACAAACGGGCATGGGAGGCTCTTAAAGAGACCAGGCTTTATTTACTGGGGGAGCTGGAGGGGTTCCTCTTTCAATTTTACTTCCCAAAAGAAACTATATTTTAAAAAATATGTTTTTATTGATTTCAGAGAGCAAGAGAGAGGGAAAGAGAAATAGAAGCATCAATGATGAGAGAGAATCATGAAACATATGCCTCCTGCTCACCCCACACTGGGGATGGAGCCCGCATCCTGGGCATGTGCCCTGACTGGGAATTGAACTGTGACCTCCTGGCTCATAGGTCGATGATGGTCAACCACTGAGCCACACCGCCCAGCTGGGCAACGTTACATGTTTTAACATCCTTGAGGTTCAGTCTCTTTTGACTTATCTTGCATCCCCAATTACAAGAAGAACTTCTGAAGAAGAACTGGGCGGCTTTCCTGGGTGTTAGTAGGGTCCCTTCCGTCCCTTCAGACACTAAAAACGAACAACACAAGCTGGGCTGCAAGCACCCTTCACACTTGACCCCTCCCGTCTCCTTGGACACCAGGCGTTCTGCAGTCCATCCGTCAGGTCTAGGGCAAGTGCAAACAATACTTTCCGTTAGAATAACTTGTATTCAGGAAAGAGGAAAAAAAAAAAAAAGAACAGCCGCTCTGTTGCATCTGTAGCATAGCAGCCAGGGACAAGTTTACCAGCGCTGGCCAACTGGAGGCGGGGAGCTGGCCGGGGAGCTGTTTTCCCCGCCCCTAGATGAAGTCATGACTGAAATATGGCATTCAACTTCTTTTTAAAAGGGAAGAGGAGTCGGAAAGAAAGCTAGCCCTGCAGGAAAGCGAGGAAGTGTGTGCACACCTCTGATCCCTGAGTGGCTCTGCTCCGACCTTCGCCTCCCACTGGGTGGGGCGGGCTTTTAAGAGCAGCTGGGGTGCAGGCCCCGGTCAGTGGAGCCGGGTGGCCTGTCTGCACCTCTCCCGGCTGGAGCGCGCTGCTCTGAGTGAGCTCCAAGCGGCCGGCCTAGCTCTGCGCCCCTCGCCACCGTCCACCCGGAGCAAAGAGGGACCTCCCTGCCCACCTGCCCGGCCATGGAGGAGGACGCTGCCCACGCCGCCAAGTCCCAGCACCCGGGCTCCGAGCTGCGGCCGGAGAAGCCGGCCAGCCCCAGCCCGGCGCCCTCGTCCACGCCCAGCCCCAGCCTGCATCTGGGCAGCACGGACGAGGCCCTCCGGGACCACGCGCAGGTGAATGCGGTCACGGTGCTCACGCTCCTGGACAAGCTGGTGAAGATGATGGACGTGGTGCAGGAGAACCAGCACAAGATGGAGCAGCGGCAGGTCAGCCTGGAGGGCTCCGTGAAGGGCATCCAGAACGACCTGACCAAGCTCTCCAAGTACCAGGCCTCCACGGGCAACACGGTGAGCAAGCTGCTGGACAAGTCCCGCAAGGTGAGCGCGCACACGCGCGCCGTCCGCGAGCGCCTGGAGCGGCAGTGCGCGCAGGTGAAGCGGCTGGAGAGCAACCACGCCCAGCTCCTGCGGCGCAACCACTTCAAAGTGCTCATCTTCCAGGTCAGTGCCCCCCCCCCGCCCCGCCCCGCAGCTGCCACTGCTCGGCATTCCTGAGCTCAGCGGCCTGGCTCTCGCCATCTGTCCATCTGTCCTGCCCGTCAGGGCGCAGACACACAGGCATTGTCCCTGTCTGCCTTCAGCAGGCGAAGGGGGGCTCTGCACACACAGGTGCACTTTCCCAGGTCCCTGCGGCCCACGCGCAAGGCCGATGCCCAGGTCAGTAGGGCGGGGTCACTTATGGGGACACCTGCATGGCCTCCATCCAGGTCGGGAAGGTGAGCAGGTGCCGTGCCCCAGTCAAACCCATGTGTCTCCCTCATATGAACCGGGCGCTGGCTGCAGCTGCCGGCCGGACAGGCCAAGTCGTTCAGTGGCTATTTATTAACTCTTTGTGCAAATGAGCTAAGCATGCGGGGTTTTCATTTGTTTGGGGGGGGGGGTTGTTGTTGTTTTTTAAATCAAAAAGTTAAACTCATAGCCCTGTAAAGTCTCCCTGTGTCCAGAGGCTACCAGTGTTGTGGGGACTAAGCAAGTACTGAAGGCTGATTCCAGTCGAGTTGACTAGCCTCGTCCTTCCAGGACTCTTCTGGCCAAAGCAATCTTGCTGAGCTCTTTCCTAGCAAAGGACGCACTAGCAGTACCGAGCAGAGCTCCTCACAGACACCCCAGATGCGCCTCTCATTGCACAGAGACACAACTGCAGAGTGAAATGAAAGCAGTGTGATCAGTTCTAGTCACAAAGGCTCGTCTGGAGTATTTGCTGTTTCCAATGCTTGCCTGGGGATTAAAAGGCCACTTGGATTTTTTTAAGGCATCAATGATGCAACGAATGTAGCAAGAGGCTATCTAGGGACAGGGAGACTGCGTGGGCCGTGGTTCCGCCAGGCGGTGGGCACTTGCGAATCCAAGGGCAGCCCTGCTACTGCCGGAAGCCTTCCGCCCAGTGGAACCCCGCCAGCTGGGACCCCAGGAAGCAATGGCCGTCCCTCCCTGCCCCAGGGCTGCCTCCTTGTAACCCAGTGAATAGGGGAGGATTTCAAAGCCCTGGAGAGGAGAGGCTGTGACCGGCTGTCTGATTGTGAAAGGCACACAGAAGAGCCTTCATCTCCCAAGAGAGATTTGGAAATGGGGCTTGAGACCAAGGGAGCCTTCTTTTCCTAAACGAATCCGCTCTGCCAAGTCAGAGCCTAAGCCTCCTCCTCCCGCCCCCCCCCCAAAGGACAGGCTCATCCGGCTGCTTCATTGTCCTCCCCAAACCACACTTGCTGTTCTAAAGCTTCAGGCAGCTGACCTCCTCCTATACCTTCCAGGCTTTTTGCAGCTAGAAGTTTTTTTTAGCTTTTAATGCAAATGGAATAGCTTTTCGTGCACCAAATAAACGGAAGAGATACCGTAACTGTTATCTTTCTTAAGCCATATAAGATCCTTCATTTATTAGCCCAAAAGGCAGTAGAAATCTTCCCTCTGGAAGCATTGTTCAGTTAAATCCTCATCTCCACACAAAACTAAACATGTACAGACCTGTTAGAGGAATTCTCCCTCCTTCCTGTATGAATCAAAGAGAAGAACTCTTGACCTAGCCCTCGGCTCGGGAGGAAAAACACAAGTATTTATCTAGTCGAGGAAAAACACGATTTGTAGGGATCGGGTTTTGTTTTGATTTGCCACGGACATCTGTAGATGTTTGGGGGGGGGGAGGGTGTACGGAGAAGATATGTGACTAAAAACTGGAGAGAATTCTAAACCTGACATTTAGACAAACCATCGTTGGGGAACTTAGAGACACAGGCTGCTGCTGAGGCCTGGCCGTGGCCTCCTGTTCCGTCACCTTGGGTTGACAGGTGCGAGATTGCAGCCAGAACGGGAAGAAATTCTCCACACAGTGAGTGGAAGGTGAGACTGGGCGCTCAAGACCCAGGGGGAAGCGAAGAGAAGCCCAGGCAGTGGCTTAAGCTCCACTCCGGGCCTCTTCGCAGGCAGCCCCCGAGGACACTTAGTTTTGAAAAGAGCCATGTAGGAGGCAAGGAAAGGGGCCTTTCTTAAGCCAGGGAAGATCCGTTCTTAGCCTAAAGGATATTCGCCATCTCAGCTCTCAAGGCGTCGCCTGATGGTTATTTAAAGAAACAAATGCGAGTGCAGCTCCTCCGTGGAAGGGTTGCTCTTTCTCTTGATCCTTCTTAAAGCAAAGGTTTCTAGAGGAGTAATTATGCCAGTGGATAAAACAATAGCTGTGTTAGAGAGTGCTTTAGCTTAGGGGCTGCGAGGTTCATTTTGCCATCAGACATCGGTTCAAATCCTAGTTTCCCCCCTTGCCAACTGTGTGCAGGGTTTATAGCTTCTCCAGGCTTGTGTCCTCATCTGTGCACTGAGAATATTAATAAAAGCAAAGAACGTTTAAGCCCTTAGTAAGCCCTGCCTGCACTACTAAGCACTTTTCTGGGTGTTATCTCCCTTCCCCCAGTTACCGATGAGGATGTGGAGACATTTCTATCTCGTCTAAAGTTATTTATGAAGCCAGTGATGAAGCTGGGGTTGGACTGATTCCGAAGTGTGTGCTCTTCAACACACATGCTCCCTCCTCCTCGCTCTCTCCAGGGTGAGGAGTCCAGGAAATCACACTTAAAATGGCCGGTGACTGGCCTGGTGTAGGAACTCAAGGAGAAAGCAGCTCTTCCTGGGTGGCTTTGAAATGCATTTGCAGGGAAAGCTACACTTTTGCTTGGTTAGAAATGTGCTTCTTATCAACCAAACCCTTGTGTGCATATATGCATAACCCATGGCCACAGACAATAGGGTGGTAAAGGCCTGAGGGGGGGGCGGGGCAAGCTGGGAAAGGTCATTGGGGGAAGGGGACATCTGTAATATTTTCAACAATAAAGATTTTTTTAAAATAAAAATAATACAAATAAATAATAATAATTAATAAATATGCCTCTTGAGTAAAAACTGACCCTACCCTACCCAGGATCTTGAAACAGCTATGCTGATGCTTTTTCAGTTGAGACTTATTAAAAGTCACACACACACACACACACACACACACACACACACACTCCCTACCATACATTGTATGACAACTACCATGTTGAAATCAGTACCATGTCACCACCGCTCCATGCAAGCAAAGGACCTGCCCATAGAGCCTTCCCCACACGGACCCTCTTGGCAGCAGCCCGTCTGCACCGTGTGGCAGAGGTCCTGTTCCCTAGATCTGCAGAGAGGGCGGAGGGCGGGTAAGGTACCAGGGCCCCTCATATCTTTACGTGATTGTTGTCACTTCCAGTCAGCTGAACGGTATGCTGGTCTTTCCTGGACTGAATCCATTGGTTTTCTAGTTTCCAACCAAAGAGTTCATGTGAAAATAAAAAAGGAGAGCGGGGAAAGGAAAGCTGTTACTGACGTGAGGTACCTGGTGCTGTGGCAGCAGTTCTCAACCTGTGGGTCGCGACCCCTGAAAATACATCCTGCATATCAGATATTTACATGACGATTCATAACAGTAGCAACATTACAGTTATGAAGTAGCAACGAAAATAATTTTATGGTTGGGGGTCACCACAACATGAGGAACTGTATGAAAGGGTTGAGGCATTAGGAAGGTTGAGAACCACTGGAAGATCACGTGTCTAGTCTGTCGGTTCCTGTTATGTCCTCCCAAATCTACAGGTGCTTCTGGGTTGGCTGGTTGGTTGGTGGGTTGGACCTAGATGCTCACACATTTGCATTGTCTAAAATTCCAAACTTGGTCCTCAATGTATCCCGTTTAAATCATGTCATTTGTTTATTTAAACCTGTGCTGAATTTACATGTTAAGCCTCTCAGGCCTTAGCCATTACCTCAGATTATAAACCAGGAGTATCTAAAACTGGACAAAATTCATTTTCCTTTAAGCAATAAAGGAAATTGTCAGATCCTTGTTAAACTTAGCAGCTTTCCTTTCTACATTTCTATAGGATCAATGTTCAAATTCAAACTACTGTGACAGGACCCAGGACAAGTGAAATGAGACCCAGAGGGGTTGCTGATCAAAAAGCAAACGCTAAAGACTAATAAGGCTAATTCTGCACCTGTAAGGCAGGCTAGATTTTTACTAAAAAAATAGAATTTCTATGGAAAGTCAGTGAATATGCAGTTAAGAGGAAATTTTCTCTGTTGATTGAAGGGACTAGAATTTCATAGGTAACTGACCCTGCCTGAGGGTGCGAGGCCCACTGATGGCCTCTTAAGGGGTTAGTTGATGATTATTTGAAAAAGCAGTTCGGGAATTATTTCAAATCCAGCAAAGAAAATGAGAGTCCTCATGGACAGCTTACACTTTCATCCACATAACATTGTGAAACTGGGTGAAAAGAGTAAAGGTCAGGTACTTGCTGTGGGTACATTCGTGGAGAATCAAGCCCTTAAATGTGTTCAAATATTCACCTTTTGGGTTCCTTCCATGAGATCAGAATTTTAGAAAGGCGCTAAAAGGGTAGCGCCTTCAGACTGTTTTTAAATGGATTTTTTTTTTGAAAGACTGTACTCCTTTCTCTATCCAAAGCCACTGTTCTGCAAACTACAATTCAGACTTAGAAGAAACAGGGACCCGGATCATAAAAAACACCTTTTATATGACAACGTGTGATGTTTATATCACATTGATTAATGTTCCCATAATGGAATATTGGTTTCAATATGCCACTTACCCAGTGCCCTTTAGTTTATGAGATAAACAAAATACTGGTTCTTATTGTTATTGTTTACACTTATTGAATGTCAGCCCTCCCTCAGGCACTTTATGGGAATAACTGATTATTGTTGGTATTTCTTCCAAAGAATCATGGCTTTCATGTATTAAATGACTAAGCTCCCAGATGCAGCCTTGCCAAGTAAGCGATGCGCCTTCTGCTGTTTTGTAATCTACGTGTGTTTGAATGGAGTGAAAAGGGTTCCACATGCAGCTCAGGTCTCAGGGTTTGGATTCTTGCGTGAAACAAAACGTGGTTGGCATCAGGATACTA